TGTGTGTGTAAGGAGTGAATCTTTTAAGAACGCTGGGTGCATTCCTGCACTACTTCTTGCTATAACCTGGAACTTTGGGAAAACACTGATGACTGTTCTAGTCACAGGTAGTTTTATGGATGCTATATTTACACAGTACTGATTTGTTTCACCTACAGTACTCCAGGCCTGCACTCTCTTACTTTTAACTGCCTAGCCATCTTATCAGGATAGAGCACAGCACTTTAAATAGTAAATCTCCTACAAATGTTAATGATGCTTGAAATCTTGTGTCTTACATCATTTTCAGAAACAAGATCAATATTAACATTTTATCATCACTTTTGTCACTTAGAAATGTTGACTTTTGAATAGCACCTGTTGTATTGTTTTGATTATGTAAAGATTAAGTCCCAGTGATAATACTGCATACATTGACTCTTTAAAGGAAGAAAAAAGTGGGTAGGGGTATAGGTACAGTATCTTTAAAATGTTTTCAAAAAAAAAAAAAAAAAAAAAACACCAGGGTAATTTTTCCCCCCTTCCAAAAACCTTATATTTCTGAAACCAATTCATGAATTGCCTCTGCAAATACAATTGTATAAAGGTACTCTTGGAGAAAGACAATGTCAATGAAAGAAGCGATTAATGCAGCCTATGGAAGTTTGTGTTTTGTTTTAACCCACATAGTGATCAATCTCAACCTTTAAACTGGTTTAATTTCCCTGCAAGCACTGAAGTATGATGCAGTAAATAAACCTCTCTTTGATGCACACCCTCTTTCTGTGCGCCTGTGTGTGTGTGCACGTGTGTGCATGTGTGTGTGCGCACACGTCTGTATGTGAGACAGAGGTCTGACTTGCTTTAGTGTCTTTTCCTGCTTCTCATGCAAGGAACCTCTCCCTTTCTATTCTGCTGAGCTCCGCATTGAAAGGAAAAGGAAAAAAAAAAAAAGCATCTGAAGAAATCTAATCAGTACCTTCCACACACGGTACAGGAATTTACACGGATTTGTGCCTTGGATTTATTAGCTTATTGTAAGCCTTAAAACAGATTTCATCCATTAAAATTAATTAAAAGCTCCTGTTGACTGATTCCCACTACGAAAAGAGGGTGGAGAGCCTTACTCTCATACTTTGCTGCTGATTTCTTTATCTTTCATGGGATTTCATCTCATGCTCTCAAAACAGAGGTCTTTTCAGCTGTTTGACTTCTTTTGGCGATCTGTTTTTCTGTTCGCTCTTCCCCTCCCCCTGCCCGTCTCCCCCGCAATATTTGCTGTTGCTTTGCCAAAGATCCCCGTCCAACTCGGCAGGTCTGCGAGGGACTCCTTTGTACTTAGCAGTCCCGAGCCACCTCGCCCCCACCCTCTCACCACCAGCTCCTGCTCCGGAGGCCGCTGCTGCTGCTGAATCCTCCCGCCGGGCGCAGCTCCCTGCTCTCCCCGTTCTTTCCATCTCTTCACACTTGCTAGCTGAGCCGACTGCCTCCTCCGAGCAAGCTTCGTTTTTTAAAGTTCCCGTTTCTCACAACCACCTCCCAAATCGTGTCAACGATCGTGCTCGTACACGCGCTCTGCCGGTTCTCCTGAAGCAGGAGGAGTGCTCGGCTTTCCCATCTGGGGGGCAGCGGGCTGGGGGCTGCTTTGGGCAGCTTCCCCTCGGCGCTGAAATGGGGCCGGGGACTCGGGACCCCGCTGCGGCTGCGAGCTCCGAGACCCACTCCTAACGCGCCCGCTGGCGTAAAATCACCCGCGGCCCCTGCGAGCACTTGCCATTCATAAATTTGTGCGTGCCTGTGCCTGGTGCCGCACTCTTGCAGGCACGGACGGGGCTGTATCGAGGCGGCATTCCTGCCACACGACCTGACCCCAGCTCCTCAACTTGGAGAAGGCAAAGGGCACCGGGTCTTTAAACCGCCTGGGGCTAGAATTACCGGGAAGGAAAAGAGAAATGAAATCCCAACTGTACCTGGCAATGTCTGGGAATCCCTCGCCGGCACCGATCATAATCCCCCTGCGCGCCTCTGGCCCCCCACACCAAAACTTTGCCGCCGCTCCTGGCCGGTGGCCGCCGCCCGCCGCGGCCGCCCAGCGCCGCTCCCGGCCGGCCCCAAGGGCCCCGCTCCCCGCCGGCCGCCGCCGCCGCACCGGAGCGGCCCCCGCGCCTCCCGCGCCTTCCTCCGCCCTTACGAGGCAGCGGCATCGTCCTCCCCCCTTCTCTGCCACCTCCTCCTCCGGCGCGCAGCCCGCGGCTCTGGCATCCCCAACGCACTTTCTCGCCTCGGTTCGCTCCTCTTTTCCCCGCCGCTCCTCCTTCTCCGGAAAAAAAAAAAAAAAAAAAAAAAAAAAGACACAAAAAAATGAAGGGACGAGAGTACGCCCGGTCTTGGGGTTGCTTTCTTTCTCTTTTTTCTCTCTGTCCTCTGGAAACGGTGAGAGGATCACAGGATCACATGAGGAGCTGGCACGGAGACCCAGGACCCTTGGAAGTCGGAGGAGGCATCGGACACATATGTGAGTATATGTGTGAGTGCGTGTGGCTGGCTCTCTCCTAGTCCTGCGCCAGCCTTCAGCCGGGATTGCAGGCTGATCTTTGCAGTAATGATGCCTCAGATCTGACTATTCCCTGCTAATGTAAGTCGTGCCTTTTTTTCCTCCCTGCCTGACACCCCAGGGAGATGTTTACAGTAATGAATTCAGTTGATAGCCATCTCTCTCTCTCTCTCTCTCTCTCTCTTTCCTGGAGTCCCTCCCACATTTCTAGTTTAAAGAATGCTTGGAAGGCAGGGCTGCAACCTAAAGCTTTCCAAGAGGCAAAGTCAGGCTAGGTTTTCTCTTTTCCTTTCCTTTTTTTTTTTTTTTCTTTTCCTCCCACTCTTAACCCATTGCTTGCTGACGGCAGTGTAGCGAGCTCCGGCCCTTCAGCATCGCCCCCCTACTCCATAAGCGGGGAGCAGAAGTCGGAGGGGGGTGCTGCCCGGGGGGTGCGCAGCACCCGGACACCCTGCATGTCGGGGCTGCCCGCAAGGAAGGTGCGGGAGGGGCTGACCGAGCCCCGCTGCCCGAGGGGTCCGTGGGGGTATGGGAAGGGAAGGGGGGGGAGCGAGCAGAAAAACTCCCCCAGCTGCGGTCCTAACCGGGAGATGCCCTCGCTAGCGATAGTTACAGCCGTGCTCTGCTCCAACATGGCGATATTTCATGTGCAGCCGCCGCCAAGCCCGCCTCTCCTCCCTCCCCTTCTGTCCCTCTCCTTCCCCCCGCTAACTTTTAGGTGGGTAATAGCACCACGGAATAAATAGAACACAGAATAAAAGTCCAGCCCTCAGGGAAGAGACGGACCTCCTTCAGCATTCCGTCTGATTTCCATGATCAGTCAGAAAGACTTTAAAACCACTGGAGAAACCACCTTTTGCCCCAAAGCGCTAACAACGCCCCCGTACTAATCCCTTCTGCAGCACTTGCAGTATGTGTGTGTGTGTTTGTGTGTGCATCCATCCCGGGTTATCTACGCTTGTTTCAGGGTAACCCTTCCCACGCCGCCCAGGTCCCTAGTAAACTGCTGCCTTGTCCTGACAAGCCCAGCTAAAAGCGAGATTATTTAATGCCGAGAAACATCTGAGCGATAGGATGCGGCCAGCAAGGTAGGACGTGGGGTGTGCGAAGAGATGAGAATTTGCCTCAAACTCCACCATTAGTAAAGAAAATGCGCGATACGCCTTTGGTTGCGAGTTACTTTAAGAGAGGGGCTGGGGAGGGATGGAGGAGAGAAGAGGCGAGCTGATCAATGCCATGTGTCGAGGAAACAGAAAAGGCAATTGAAATGCCTCGGGGTTTGCTTCCCCCTCACCCCTGGCTGTGCACTGGCTTGCATATGCAGCTCAGCCCTACCTCGAGAGCTGAATCACTCGCCATTGTCTCCGCACCTCCTTCGCCCTTCGCTTGGGGAGGGCTGAATTATTCACGCCTCCAAAGCTCGACGAGACCTGCCGAGGAGCCCGGGCGCGGGGCAGTCCCGGGCGCGCTGCTGCCGGTCCCCGAACCCGCCCCGGGCCCTGGGGAGGCGTCTGGCGGAGCGCCCGCGGTCCGTAGCCTCGAACCGAGCCCCTCCGTGGGGGGGGCTCACCTACGCGGATGCGGGGCGTAATGGGGGGCTCGGAAGGGGGAGTGCAGGTAGCCCGGCGAGGGTCGAGGAGCTGAGGAGGAAACCTCGCTCCCCTCTCGCCCCCCCTCCCCCCCGGCGGCATTGCTGCCTCGGGGCCGGGGTCTGCTCCCCTGGGGATGGAGCCCCCGGGTTCTCGGCAGCTCCGCGGGGCTGGGCTGCTCGGGGAGAGCGGATCTGGCGCGGTGCAGAGCCGCGGGGCCAGCCTCTGCTGCTCCCGTCAAAGAGCCGGGGCTGTTCTCAGTTCGAATCTCTGCCTGCAGCTCCCAGCTGGTCCCGAGGGATGAAAGGAGCAGAAGCCCCGTAGGGTTCAAAGCTGAATGAACAACCTTTTTCAAGGTTGTTCTGGGTCCTTTTTGACTTTTTCAAGACCTGACTTTTTTTATTTTTCTCCTTTTCTTAAAGCTTTACATACTTTTCAAAGCACTTATTTACACATGATTTATAGCTCTTTCCTGAAGCTGATGGAAAGCCGGTGCATTTTCTCCTGAAAATTTCCTCTAAGTCTTCCTCATCCTCTCTCCACCCATCCCTTCTCCGCGTCCTCGATATTACCAACCTGTCGATAACACATAAGGTAAAGCAGATCTTTGTTGACCACAGGCATTTCTACCCCCCTTTCCCCCCCCCCACCCCTTCCCCCCCCCCCCCCCGTCACGGAGGAAAATGGAAATACGAAAAACTTCTGCCCCACGGGCTCCCAGAGGTTCGGCGGAATTGCGACTGTTACCCCCCCCCCTCCCCCCCCCGCCTCTGCCCCTCATCCAGCCCACACTTCAAATTAGGGAAAGAAAGGTATTCAGGGCACACTTTGGTCAAAGCGAGACCCTGTCAATCCACAGAGACTCAGCGAGCCTTTACCTGCTCCCGCGGAGGTGGCTCCTCCTCGGTCGATCACCCAAAGCCCACCGGGTTCGGCAGGTTGAAAGGGGAGAAAGTGGCAGAACAGCTGGGCTCCGGCATGGTATTGTTTTAAGGATCACCACCAAGGTCTCTGCTTTCCATAGCTGCCAATGATCACCAGCACCCAAGGTTTCTCTCAAGGAAAGGAGGAAGGAAATTTACTTTCCAAGCAGCTGTCCAGGCGGTCACTTGACCCTGACACCCACCGATGACTCCGGGGAACACCCCGCTGCAGCGGTTAAATGCCTCGTAGTTTCCTTTCTTTGTCCCCCGGCGGCTCCGGCGCAACGCCACCGAGCGATCTTATCGCCGTGTGATCATTATTCACCGGTGACAACCAGAGATGCTGAGCTCCTAAGTGAGGGTGACAGATTTCAAGCGCGGGGCTGCGGCGTGCCCAGCCTCAGACATATTCTTCCTCAAACTTTGCCTAGCAAGCAAGCTGGCGGCTTAACCCTTTGCAGCGCCTTCTGTCGCACGGGCACCGGGACCTCAGCGCACGGGGGTGTGCGTACTCGCGAGCAGCCGCAGCACAGGCGGCCGCGGGGCTGGGGACGTTTTATTACGTGTCGTTTTCGATTCTCGATGATTTTCAATTGAAACAGATCAGAACCGCCAACTCTGGGGAGCAGTTGGAGAGCTGAATACTGCTCCTCTGTGGTTAGGGACTGGAAAAAATCTTCTCGGCAAAGCAGATCTCATGGGGACTCACCTGCCGTCCCTACTTTGTCACCGACTCGGATGTGGAAACTGTCACATGCGGCGTATGGAAACCTCTCACATGAGCGTATACGGAGCTGCTGCACTTTCCTCAGCTTGACGTGGCTACAAGTACATATCTGAAAGTGCTATTTCACTCAGACCCTCGGATTCATCTCGTTTACAGGTTATTAATAACAGCAGAGAAAAGAACAAACAACGCATTTCCACGGGAAAAAAAAAAAAAAAAAAAAAAGTATTTTTCACACACGCACTTTGTAGTCAAAGGAAATATTTACCACCAGCAAACTCCAGCATGTCAGAACATGTTTCCTCCAAAGCAGAAGAAAGCCTTAAAATGAGGAGAAAAAAAAAAAAGTGTAATTCAAAGATGAAATGAAGTGCACGAAAGCTTTCCAAACTCAGTACTACCAGCTCAGAGCCTGATGTCAAGACAAAGCTGTAGGGCTGTAACGCGAAGTAGTAGAGAGGACAAAAGGAAATCAGCGAACTCCATTGGCTTTCTATTATTCATGTATATATCGTTTCAGTAAAGTAAGTCATGATGACTGTCACGCTTCCATGCCTTCTCCCCCCACGGCCCCCTCAAAAAAAAGAGGGGAAGATGCTCTAACTGCAGCTGAACGACACTGAGAGCCTGGAGGTGGGATGGAGCGCTGAGAGCTCCTACCAGAGTCCCCCTGGACATACAGTGTGGCAGGACACAGAGGCAGACTTGGTACGTGTGGAGGAGGATCTGAGTTCTATCTTTATTGAAGGTGTTAAGACTGGCCAAGGATGAAAAATCCTGTCATAAGCAAAGGGGTAGGGAAAAAAAAAAAAAAAATCTGATTGCTCTCCCTCCCACATTTCTGAGCTTCGAATTAAAGCGTGACAGGCGAATAAACCTCCTTAGTAGAACATCCCACCCCCAAAACATAATAAAAAAAATACTTAAAAAAAAAAAAAAAAAAAAAAGCGGACCATTTACAGGTTGGCTGTAGTCATCCCATTCCTAACAATGGGTGACATGAGGGGACAGGCTAGTAAGACACGCCCGCCCGCAGTCCCGCAGGCAGGAGCGCCGCCTGCACGTCCCTCGGCGCGGCCAAGGTGGCAGCAGAGCACAGCGCTCGGCAGCTGCCGCGGCAGAAACTTCCCCCATTTTCTCCCTTCAGCGCCCTCCGTTTAGACTGCTTCCCCCACCTCCACCCCACAATTATTAATCTTAGTTATAACTCTGATTACTTGGACTTCAAACATATTTTTTTCCGTACTATAACTATGTGAAAGTTTTATTTATTTATTACCGAACTGCTTTGCACAGTTGAAAGGCTGTAAACTGAAAGGGGAACATAGAAATTATTCTTTTTAAATTATCTCTGATTATACAAGATGGTTACCCTGGAGTGATGGTCCACTGATCCATAATACAACCTCAATTATTTTAAAGAGGATGTGAAATAGGATAACATAAAAAATATTAAGAAACTAAAAGTGTCTTTTTTATAAGTGACTTTTTTTTTTTTTGGCCTTTGTTAGAATGATTGCTGCTGCTTGCAAGAGAGGGTAAAAGGAGCTGGGAGTAGTTCTGTAACTGGGAGGCTGGTCTAAAATAAACTATTTTTTCAATTTTTGTCAATAACAGCAAATTTTATATCAGGCCTTAAATTCATGCAGCCAACAGAGAGAAAAAAATACAACATGAATTTTTCATCAACTTTTTGCAAAATCAATTTTTTATTTAAAAAATACTTGGGGAAATGGAGGAAAGAGGAAAGAAAGAACAAGAAGGGAAGGGAAGGGAAGGGAAGGGAAGGGAAGGGACGGGAAGGAGGAAGGGGAAGGGGAAGGGGTAGAAGGGGAAGGGGAAGGGGGGAAGGGGAAGGGGAAGGGGAAGGGGAAGGGGAAGGGGAAGGGGAGGGAAGGGGAGGGAAGGGAAGGGAAGGGAAGGGAAGGGAAGGGAAGGGAAGGGAAGGGAAGGGAAGGGAAGGGAAGGGAAGGGAAGGGAAGGGAAGGGAAGGGAAGGGAAGGGAAGGGGAAGGGGAAGGGGTAGAAGGGGAAGGGGAAGGGGGGGAAGGGGAAGGGGAAGGGGAAGGGGAAGGGGAAGGGGAAGGGGAAGGGGAAGGGGAAGGGGAAGGGGAGGGAAGGGAAGGGAAGGGAAGGGAAGGGAAGGGAAGGGAAGGGAAGGGAAGGGAAGGGAAGGGAAGGGAAGGGAAGGGAAGGGAAGGGAAGGGAAGGGAAGGAAGGGAAGGGAAGGGAAGGGAAGGGAAGGGAAGGGAAGGGAAGGGAAGGGAAGGGAGGGAAGGGAAGGGAAGGGAAGGGAAGGGAAGGGAAGGGAAGGGAAGGGAAGGGAAGAAGCCTTTAGAATGGTAGACCATTGAGCTACTGAGATATTATATTCTATCTGGAATTCTAAACAAGTTGAAAGGCTGAATGTATTCTTTTCCATCTTAATGAAAAAAAATTAAACACTTTGATTAGAACTACATTAAACTGGAGAAAAAACACACCCAACTTGTATTTTCTCTGAGCTCTCACTTCTATGGTGAGCTTAAAATTAATATATCATACTGGTTCTTAAGCAGGCTTTGGCAGATTTTGTGATGTAACTCAAATGGTAAATTTCTACATTCAGGGACTGGATTTCATGTCAAACTAAAATTGAACTTTGTAAAAGTATGCATAATGCCTTGGGATGTCACACTGCATAGCTGTGACCTAGCAGAGGCTTTCCCTTCTTCACTCCAAGAGATTTCTGCATTTAGCTTTTGACAATATCATGAAAAATTATTTCTAAGGATTGCCTTTGGCCATCCCTTCTCTGCCTTGTCCCAGGTGACACAGGAATTGGGAGTCTTGTAGATCTCTTTTAGTCTGTAAGAGGAGGATTTAAGATTTTCTATTTCTTGCTTTTTGTCAAGTTGATTTCCAATAAAACAAGAAAACAAGCTGGTCAAAATAAGCTGAAAATCTTTTTTTTATTTTTCTTTTGCTTCTGAACACCTTAGTGACTCATGTCAAATTTTGTTCAAAATAGATCCACCGAGGTGCCATCTCATGGCAGACACATTAGAAATAGGTAAATAGGAAAGACAGAAAGACTTGATTATAACATTTTATTATATTTGAAAAAAAAAACCTGTATTTTTCTGACCACATTTGGTGACCAAGGAAAGTCATGTCAGATCAAATTGCATATTATGCCATCTCAATTTTAAGTTAGATGTCTTTAAAGGAGATAAAATTTTACATATAAATTGGTGATAAATAAATAATCTTATTTTTCATGCTGAAAACAGTTGCAAAAATATAGATGAATCCAACCAACAGGTAATTGCATCTGATGAAATTGAGGTCATTCAAATGGCTAAATCATACTGGTCATAACAACCTGGCTCTCATTTAACATTGTAATGCATTGTTTTTATTTATTTATTTAATATATGCAAATTACAAGAGAAAAATAGAAAGGCAAGAAAAGCAATTGGCTGAAATCAACACTATAGTAACAAAGAAACAAACAAAACAGTTTATTTATAATGGGCCTATCTACTTACTAGGCTGGTGGGAGTGGAAAGCATAAGTAAAATCTTACAAATAGTATAAAAGTGGTCCACATAAATTGTTTCTTTAAGAGATTGTAAGCAAAATCATTAAGGTCCTTTACATTGACATAGCCAGCTTTTAAAATAATGTGTGTTTGTTTGTTTGTTGTAATCTCTGGTTTTATGACTGATCCTTTGCCTTTTTGGAAAAAAAAAAAAAAAAACTGATTATAGTATTAGAGGTATTCTAGCTGCACTATATAGAACTGAAAAACCACCTCAGTGGCACTGCATTCATTAAGTTTCATGTTATGCATTCATCCCTCTTCTTTCATTTAAAGTGGAGAAGGCTAGAAGGCAGACTATCAATCTACTCTAGAAAAAAGCATCACTTTCTGATCACAAGGCCATCTGCTCTATCTCCCAACAGACCTCAAGAGCTCACACATTATAATATTTTTCTGATTAAAAAAAAAAGGGGGGGGATAAAAAAAAAAAAAAAGATTTGCTTGTACTTTCTTATCCACAGGTTCAGCAATCTAAAATCATTCTTTCCCTTCCATCTCTGTCAAGACCATTTCTGTAACTTTCTGTATTTTCAAGGGGTCTGTTGCAATTCTGGAAGGGTCTCTCTAATGATCTAAGAGGATCCATTTTTCCTTCAGCTCAATAAACACAACAGGATGGTTTTTAGAATTGTGAGGATTTATTGAAGTTGGACGGGAGAAAATTAATTTTAGAATAATTAGCCCAGTCAAAGTCTTTCAATATAATTTAAAGAGAAAGCATGAAAAAAAATGCTAAAATTTATAATACAGACCTCAATTAGGTCTACAGACCCAGGCCTCATCGCACAACTCTTATAGCTGTTTCCATCAATTTCCATGGAGCACCTCACAAAAGATTAGCAAACTTTTTATTATGATATTTCAAAAATACTACTCTATCTGCTAAACGTTAACTGTTTTTCCATTCTAGTATAAACTATTTGTGATAGGTGACAAAGAAGAATGTGGACTTTCTATTACAATTTATTGACATTTGTTTTTTCTGAATTAATCCCTTGATTATGATGAAGACATAATGCCATTTTGTGAAGCCTTTCCTAATTCTTCCTGTTTATTTTAGAACATATCACTGTAAAAGTGATAGATGAAATAGAAAATTAATTTCAATTGCCTAAAGAAGAACGTATAAAGCCATTATCCTGACCATCAAGGGTCAGGAATTAGAGGATTACACATCTAAACTCAGAAATGGATGAGCAAGAATCTCTGTATGCTGCTCTACCAGAAGGTCCCCTTTCCAAGGGCTATTACTTGAGGGCTGAGAAACACGTCACCATGTACAGACTGAACACCTGAAAGGGAAGTGGGGGAAAAAAATAATAATACCTGCAGAAGGACTAGGCAGATGGTATCTGTTTTGAATCCTGATAAATTGGCATTAAACAGTCAGGTCTTTGAGAGGATTCTGAGGCAGCGAAAATATCTTGTGAAACTTTTTGTTTTGCTCTTCAGCAGTACAAAGCACCTACAACACAGATTTGTGGACTAATGTGAATAGAAAGGGTGTCACAGCAGTCAACAACTCTTCATCAGTTTCAAAACATACGACACCAATTTTTTTTTATTTTTTTTAATCCTAAACTTAATGTTAGTGAAAGTCAAGCTTATGCCACATCATTAGATCTCTTTGTAAACAGGAAGGTATATCCTTTATTTTCGGGGAAGCATTGGTAGAAGCAAGAGGATTGCTGATGAGATCTAGTGAACCAGTGAAAGACTTAGCAGCAGTCTAGGTAATCATTGCCTGCTGGCAAACAAATAAAATGGATATACTTTAATGAGGGGTTCACACTATGTGGAATACAGCAGAAATTCACTGGTGATAGGCATGAGGCTACTTACTAAATTGATGCTATGAAGAATATTTAGTTGCTGTTACCAAATGATTTCTTTCTTTGGTACCCATTCTGTGGGAAAACCATGTAGATTTATTTCACTGGTGGGACACTGAAGGAACCTGTCTAGTGAGAAAAAAAAATATATAATAATAATAATTAAAAATTGCACCAGGATTGCAAGCTTAGGGTGAGTTTAAATCAGGTAGTGTTGGTTGTTAGGACAAACAGTCAGGACTTACTTTTTTCGTCTTGTAGTCTTTGCAGTTCCCAAGATCTCGAACTGTCCCTGGAGAATGGTGTTTATCAGCTTTATACGTGCTGTATTCATTTGGCCTGTGAGACAGTGCTAGTCGTCTTGTA